TTATGTGTGGCTAGTCCATTCTGATCCTTTGACTTAATATGTCTATCTTGATGCCCATTTCATTTCTTTGGATTACTTTATAATTTACTTTATTAGCTTTATAATAATTCTTAAAATAAGGCTGTTATTAGCTATTCAATTTTTTCTTTTTTGAGTTATCTTGCCTATTTTTCTCTTGCATTTACATATGAATTTCAGGTTAAACTTTTTAATTTCTTACAAAAAATCCAATTAGGGTTCTGATTGGATTGTCTTGAAAATATAGATCAATTCTAGAAGAATCAACCTCTTATTGAGTTCATGAGTCAGAATCCATGAATGAGGTGCATATTTCCATTAGGTTTTTAAAATTTTTCTTTCATTAATATTTGTAGTTTAGCTGGAGGTCTTTCACATTAGGTGTTGAATTTATCTCTAAGCACTTCACATTTTTGTAGTTACTGAAAGTAATATTGCATTTTAAGCAATAATGTTCAAATTTTCATTACTAGTACACAGAAATAAAACCATTTTTATATAACTGATCTCACATTGTGCACTCCTGTAAAACTCAGTTATCAATTCTAGCAGCTTTCTGGGTAGAACTTAATAGATTTTTAAATTAGATGATCACATCATCTATCAGTAAAGACAGTTACACTTTTTCTTTCCAATGGGGATATTCCAACCCTCACATCCTGCCTTCCGTTCCTTGCCCAAATGTTCAGATTAGAACCTTAAATATAATATTGAATATAAGTGCTGAGAGTGAACATTCCCTTGTAATTTTAGTTCATCACTAAATATTATGTTGGATGTGAGTTTTTCTTAGATGTTCTCAAAATCTCTTTTTATTCCATGTATGCTGAGATTTTTGTCAGGATTGAATGTTGGGTTGTTTCAATTGCTTTCTTTCTTTTTTTTTTTTTTTTTTTTTTTACTTTTTGAATTACATAGGTGTATTTGTGAATGTTAAATCAGCTGTTTTCCTGGAAAAACCCTTACTGGCTCGTAATGTATTTTCTTTTTGAAATACTGTTGAATTTGCTAACATTTTTAGAATTTCACATTGATATCTGTGAGAAATATTGATTTAAGTGTAGTGTTCTTGTTATAACCTTGTCTAGATTTGGTGTTAAACTAATTTTTGGAAGTTATGTAGAAATGGCATTATTTCTTCCTGAAATATCGAAAGAGCTCAACAGTGAAGCTATTTAGGTAGGCCTAGAATTTTCCTGGTCCAAGGTTACTAATCTCTATTTCTTTAGTTGACAAATACAGTATTAATTAGATTATTTTTTCTTGAGTGAACTTTGATTAATTTGTGTCTTAAGGAATTTGTCCATTTCTCGAAGTTTTTGAATGTATTGACATAAAGTTGTTCATCATATTCCATTATTCAGGTAATATCCATAGACTACATAGTAATAAAACTTTTCTTATTCCTACTATTGATAAGTAAATTTTCTTTGTAATCAGTCCCACTTGAGATCAATTTTGTTGTGTTGTTCTTTTCAAAGATCATGGTTTCAGTGATAATTTTGTTCCTATTTTCTGTTTCACTGATTTCAAATTGGATATTATTTTAATCTATGTACTTAAGTTCTCGATTTTTCAGTTTCTTAAAGTGGAAACTGAGGTCACTGCTTTGAGATCTCCTTTTATTAAGTAGGCCTTTAGTGCTATAAATTTGCCCCATGTTTAAATACTCACATTATTTTTTTATTATTGTGCTTTCAAGTTCACCAATATTTTTTCTGCCATGTTTAATCTGCTGTTAATGCCATTTGTCATATTTTTCCTCTCAAATACTGGTTTCTCATTTCCAGAAGTTTGACATTGGTCTTTTGTATCGTCCATGTCTCTAAGTTTTAAAAATATCTGGACAGTTATAAATACATGTTTTAATATTCTTCTGTGCTGATTCTAACATCTATGTCTATGATGAATATCGGTGAATATCCTCATTGTGAGTCATGTTTTTCTGTCTCTTTGCAGACTTGGTAATCTAACTGGATCAGAGATCTTGAGATTTTTACCTTGTTGGGTACTGGATATTTTTGCTTTCCTCTTAAGTTTTCTTCAGCTTCCCTCTGGTATATTAGGAGTAAATTTGAGTCTTTTTATGATTTATTAGGCAGATCTGGAACACTGGATGAATAATGGCTACTCAAAGATATCAGGTTCTAATCCCTAGAAACCAGAAGTGTTACCTTGTACAGAAAAAGGGCCTGTACAGATATGATAAAGTGCCTGTCCTGGGGAATTTATCCTTGATTATCTGGATGGGTTGTAAATCCAATTACAAGTATCATTTTAAGAGGGAAACACAGAGAAAACTGTGACACACACAGAAAAAAGAAGGCAGAGTGAATAGAAGCAGAGATTGGAAAGATGTGGCTATCAATCAAGGAACAGCAGTAGCTAATAGAAGCTATAAGAAGCCAGGGATGGATTTTCCTCTAGAGGCTCTGGAGGTAGTAAGGCCCTGCCAGCACTTTGACTTTGGCTCAGAGAAATTGATTTTGTACCTCTGGCCAGACTCATGAGTAAATAAATTTCTACTGTTTTTGGCTACTAAGTTTGTGGCAATTTGTTAAGCACTCAGGAAAATAACATACCCATGTAAGTTTTTCCAGTCTGGCTATTGGTAATAAGCCCTGTTCCTGGACCTGGGATCAGGCATGGTTTCTGCTAATTGTTTATTCCTTTCAGGTGGTTCTTTCCAGGTTAGAGAATTCAGTCACATGTACAGTGACTGAACAGTACTCTACTGAATACTCCTAGAGGACTCATAGAGTACTCCCTGAAGATCTCCAGGGTTCTCTCTGTCTGCAGCTCTTTCCACTCTAACTTATTTGGTATTCCCAAACTCTTAGTTTTGCCTCCTTAAATTGAGCAGTCTGTCAGGCTTTGCCTCAATACCTTTTCTCCATGCCATATCCTAGAAACTCCATGAAGGCACTAAGACAAAGGGATACTACCTTTGTTTCCTGTCTTTCAGGAACTGTTTTTCTTCCTTGCCAGATGTCTAGGATGTTGAAAACTATCATTTCATGAATTGTCAGGCAAGATTGTTTCAGTAAGGCTGTTTATTCTATCTAGGCCGGAAACTCCATTAATATTGGCAAACATCTGGATTTATTTTTATGCTTTTTGGGTAAAGTAAAACGAATGTACAATATAAAAGGACATTCAGGAAACCAATAAATAGTGTTTATAAATAAAATTCATAGAAGTTTTCATTTAATAAGTCTTATTGAAAATTCAAAAGTAAATAAAATGTTAATATTATCCAAAAATTCTATTGTAAATTCCTTGAAGAAAGTCCTAAAAAAATTTCCTTAAACACATAAGTTTACTATGGCTGCTACTAACTTTCATTAAAAACAAACAAACAAACAAACAAACAAAAAACTGACTAAAAGAGAAAATAAATTATCTCAGAAAAGTAATAAGTTTAGAATTTTGTATAGTTCATACCACAATTCAGATTGAAATGAATTGAGAATGTACTCAATTGTTTGTATTACTTCTTAATATAATAATGTTTTACTGGTGAAAGAAAACACTAAAAGGAAAATCTTGAGGGTTTACCCTTCTCATTAAAAGCAAAATTTTACTTCAAAGCTTAGGAATCTTTGAAAAACAACTTTTACCCAATGTAAATGGGAATTTAAATCTAAAATGTAAGCTATAATTTTCTTTTACTCTCAAGGTTAACAATAATATCATTCAGAATAAAGTTCTCAATAAGCAAAACATACTGAAAAAAAAACAACATATAACATTTATTAAGCACACTCTATAAAGCTGTATAAGTATTTTATGTGTATTATCTCCTATAATCCATACCTACTGTCTTGGATACATATTATTTTTATCCTAGTTTTAAAGACAAAGCTCAAAGACATTAAATACATATTTAAAATCATATAACTTATTTAATATTCAAGGGTGAACTTGAATTCAGTCATATTCTAAAAATAGTAAGCAGCAAACTCAAATTTCCTTTTGAGTAAAATTCAGCTAATTACAAGGCATTTATATAAAGTCCTATTAGATAGTAGTTTCCCCTAAATTTCAAATATCAAGAAATATTTTAACTCAATATTTCAAGACTTTTGTTTTAGAACATGGAGCTATAATAATTATTTCTAATACATATGCAAGCTAACAAGGTACATTGATACTAAAAAAAACTCCAAAAAACAGTTTCTTATTTAATGCATTTGTTCACAGCCTCTCATAAAGAGATCAGTGAAATCACTCAGAGAAAAACTGATACTTTTCTTTTAGGTATAAATATCCTTGTGTATACAGAATATATAAAAAGGAATCACACAATTTGCCCTAAAATATATAATTATTTTCACATTGAACTACTTGTTTAAAAAGGACATATGTGCATGTGGGCAATGGGTATAAAATATATATAGTTTTTCGTATTTATTTTCTATCCCTGAAAAGATAAATATGGATCAATAAGATGAATTCTCTGTATAAAGATGCTTTTATCATAGGTGTTTCAAAGTAGTGCTCTGAAAGTCTAACAAAAAGTTTTTGAACTTTCTCAAGTAGGCTCATTTGTACATTCCCATGAGAGAAAGAAACAGACAGTATAAGGGTGCCTTTACAGAATACATTACCTCTGAAGAAATCACAGTAAAATTTTTGTTATTTACCTGAAGATTTTCACAGGTCTCTTGACTGTATGTAAGTCTCTGAATTTCTGTAGGTGAAACAAGATATAATGCTTGTCCATTGTTGGTGAAGCAGAATGTTCTGGCTATCCGCATATTGGTGAGAGGCAAGTAATACACATCCAACAGAGGCCTTAAACTTGGCAAACTTGAAAAAATTAAAAACTTATTAACAATAAATATGGCAGGTTTTAAGTCGTGAAAAGAGTAATACAGAAGTTAAAAATGGCAGGGACTTGTAAAATCTTATGATTTAGTTTATAGCCCTTAGTGGGAATAAAGAATGATCTGTTTTCCTCCTATACTTGTTCACTATTAACCGAATGAAAATAGTGATAGTGTATGAGACTATAAATAAAAAAGCATTTCTTTTAAACTAAATATAATTCTGAAACATGATTTGGGGAAAGAAATGCTGTATGTGTCCTTAAAAAACTCTTTCTTACCTGAAAGTCATAATATGGCCATTAGCACAGAAACATGCAAGGCAGATGCTGTTATTCAATGCTACAATATCTCCACGAAGCACAAAGGAGGTCTCTGTAATGTTTTGCTTATAAGCACAGTTCTGGGTTGGCAGTGAGATTACTTTTGCTTGCTTTTCAGAACATATCACTGCATATTGGTTTTCACTAATTTCCTGAGAAGAGGAGGGAGATACTGAGACAGGTCGCCGTTTTTTCAATTTTTCTTTTTCATCCTTTTCTTCAGGAACATTATGTTCTTTCCAGGGTTCATATGCAGGTGGCAATAAGCAGCCTGTGGTATCCAGAAATGCCATTCTCAGGACTGCACCTTTAAGTCTCAATATAGTACCTAAAATTAATAAGTTTAGTAAATAATTGAAATATTTTATTAAATATGCTTATTCTAACTCTGACACCAAGTAGACATTCAAGAGTATGCTGAATGAATGTTACACTGAAATTATGCACTGGGTCACCAATAGGATACAAATTTCAAGCATTATATTTATGCTTGAACTTGTGAGTTTGGAAAAATATATCAATACTACATATCCCAGATAGATAAATGCAGCTGATAATTTACAATTAAACATGATAGACTTTGTAAACATATATCTAACCTATAGATTAATAAACAATGGTATGCTGAGTATCTGGAACTATGGTCTCCTTTTTTACTCAGGTAAGTGCACTACCAATGCATATGAGAACATATTGATAGCATATGGCTTCTAGAGCTACATTGTCAGTATGACAGCTACTAGCCAGATATGGCTTCAGAACACTGGAACTGTCGAAACTGTGGTAGATAACTATGCTGTGCAATGAGAATAAAACAGATGCTAGACACGATGACTTTAGTACCAAAAGAAAAAAATAAAAAATATTTCAATGCTTTAAAAATATAGATTATATGCTGAAATGATGGTATTTTTGATACACTGGGCTTTATAAATGTTACTAAAATTAATTTTACCTGTTTTTTTAGTTTTTAAATTTTTTT